AAAAAAAATAAAAAAAATAAACAGGGACGAGGAATGAGGTTTTAGAAACTTGAAAGAGGATGGAAAAACAATAGTAGGTGAGAAGGAAAGGAGATTAACTAAGTTTTAAACAGCCATGAAAGATTAAGGTTGTAGTTGAGAATTGAGAGTAAAACCAGTTAGTTTGGTCCTGTTTTTCTTTTTAAAACCTGTACTTCTTATTTTTTTCTCCATATTGATTGCTGCATTAAAACTGTACATATGGTGGGATTTGTTGCTTCATATTTGAATATGCACATACCCTCTTTTCCTTTTTCCTCTCTAGCTTCCACTTAAGAGAGAAAACATATGACCCTTGACTTCGAGTTTGGCTTATTTCACTTAACATAATATTATCAAGTTCCATCTATTTTCCTGCAAATAAAATAATTTTAATCTTCTTTATGACTGTGTATATGTAATACATTTTCTTTATCCATTCATCTGTTGATGGCTATCTAGGCTGGTTCCATAGTTTGGCTATTGTGAATTGTGCTGCTGTTAACATGGGTATGCATGTATCACTACAGTAGGATGACTTTAATTCTTCAGGATAAATACCAGAGTAGTATATCTTCATGATATTGGGAGTAAAGGATGAAATGCAATGAAAAGACAGTAGGATTAGTATATTTTACATTTTACTGAAACTGGAAAATTATTGCATTTGGAATTACCATATGAAGATAGTGGTCAGAGTGTGAGATGAGCAAAATTGAGAGTATGAGGGGGTTACTGTACTGATAATGACAAACCTAGGATGTGGGTACATGGGAAGAATGGAGGACAAGATCATGGAAGGAAAAAGGATCAAGGGCCTCTAACTCTACTTGAATAAGTGCTTCAAATCCTAGACACAATATTTACATTGTATGTATGCATTTTTAAAATTTCGGACAAGAAACTCAGATTTTCTCAAATGGTATTCTGTGAAGAGAAAATGATTCAAGCAGCATCTTCTCAATTATACTGATAAAGGACAGTACCGTTCTAGATGAATAGGAGATAAGTAATTTCATTACAAACATTTGTTCTCTCATGAAACCCTAGATGAGAAGGGTAGCCAAAAGAAAAAAAAAAAGTCTCAGGAAAAGGAAAAAAAAAAAGAGGTAAAATCTTTAAGTTTTTCCTAAACAACATACTCATTCTACCTGTGTATAGCAGTTTTCAATTTGCAAAATACTTTTAAATGTGTATATCATACGATACCAACAACTACCAGGTGAGATAAGCAGGCTAAGTATAATTTCAACCATAATTTTGTAACTTTCAGTTTATTTATTTGAGACAGTCTCACTGTGTTACCCAAGCTGGTCTCGAATTCCTAGGCTCAAGTAAGCCTCCTTAGTCTCCCAAGTAGCTGGCACCACGAGACACATATGTTCAGTAACAAGACTGAAATGCAAATTTTCAGTCTTAAGATATAATACTCTTCTCTATAAGTTTCAGCGATACAAGTACTAATTGTATAAGAAATCTTTCCCCTTACAATTCTACTCCACATAATGTCCTTCTGCTGCGCTGCACTGCACTCTCTGCTTCCCTGATTCTCCACTAGACTTTAAACTCCTGGGAGACAGGGAAAGTTGTGTTTTGAATATTTGTATATCTAGAAATTAACTAAAAATATTAGTGGAAATAAGGAAGTTAGGAAGAAAACATAAAGACTAATTTACTAGAAACTAAACTTGGCAGGATATAGATATTACATTTGAAGTTGTTACTCAAACAGAGAAATTAGACTCTGGAAACTGTTTCATGAGGACAATTTGAAGGTGCAAATAGACTTAGAAAGCATCAAGAGGAAACAAATTAGGTTTTTGTAAGTATCACATGTTATCACATAAAAGGGCACATTTCGGGGCTGGGGATGTGGCTCAAACGGTAGTGCGCTCGCCAGGCATGCGTGCAGCCCGGGTTCGATTCTCAGCACCACATACAAACAAAGATGTTGTGTCTGCCGAAAACTAAAAAATAAATATTGAAAAATTCTCTCTCTCTCTCTCAAAAATTTTTTTTTTAAAAAAGGGCACATTTCGTATTCTTTCAAAGGGGATTAAAGGGTACCAGTAATAGAAGTTGTGGGGTGAGGATTTTAGCTTTATACTAGGAATCTAATTAGCAAAAGCACTCTAACAGAAACATAGGTCTCTCCTCTCATAGGGAGTAACCATCACTAAAGGATGGAATGGCTGGTAAAAACACCCAACATTTACAGTGGAGGGAGCACCTGACTGTAGTTGAGTCATGTCAGGTAGCTAATACTAAGGGAGTAAGCAAGATAACTGAGGTTCTCATGAAAGTGAATGGTTTCTTAGTAAAAAGCATACAACCCTAGACCTTTGATTCTGGTTCAGTGCAAGGTGATTTTTTGTTTTTTAAATTCTGCTTCATTGGTATATAATCATTACTTTTGGTTTCAGTATTGCCCATTCTTCTGGATATTCTCTTATCTACAACATAATATATTGGATATAATTGTCAATTTAAATGAGAATTATTCTGAGTTTCATTCATTTTTTTCCCACAATATATTTCCTTTTCTCCTTGCAATAGGAAAAAAAAAAAAAGAACATGGGCTTTTTAAGTCTAGTATATGTCCTTTTCTTCTTTTTTGGAGACAAAGTATCCTGCCAATATGAAACTTATCAATGGGATGAAGATTATGACCAAGAACCAAATGAGGATTATGAACCAGAAATCCAATTTCGTCAACATGTAGAATATGGAGTTCCTTTTTATCAGCATAGTTTAGGTTGTGCCAGTGAATGCTTCTGTCCAACTAACTTTCCAACATCGATGTACTGTGACAATCGCAAACTCAAGACTATCCCAAATATTCCAATGCATATCCAGCAACTCTACCTTCAGTTCAATGAAATTGAGGCTGTGACTGCAAATTCATTCATCAATGCAAGTCATCTTAAAGAAATTAACCTCAGCCACAACAAAATTAAATCTCAAAAGATTGATAATGGTGTGTTTGCAAAATTTTCAAATCTACTACAACTTCACCTAGAGCATAACAATTTACAAGAATTTCCATTTCCTCTTCCTAAATCTCTGGAAAGACTCCTCCTTGGTTACAATGAAATCTCCACATTACACACAAGTGCCATGGATGGGCTGGTAAACTTGACTATGCTCGATCTCTGTTATAATCACCTTCATGACTCTGTGTTAAAAGAAAAAAACCTTGCCAAGATGGAAAAATTAATGCAGCTCAACCTATGTCATAACAGATTAGAATCAATGCCTCCTGGATTACCTTCTTCACTTATGTATCTATCTTTAGAAAATAATTCAATTTCTTCTATACCAGACAAATACTTTGATGAACTTCCAAAACTTCACGCTCTAAGAATGTCACACAACAAACTGCAAGACATCCCATATAACATCTTTAATCTTTCCAACCTTATAGAGCTCAATGTCGGACACAACAAATTGAAGCAAGCATTTTACATTCCAAGAAATTTGGAACACCTATACCTAGAAAATAATGAAATAGAAAGTATGTAAAATTTTATATATTTTAATGAACAAGAAATGTATTTTGCCTCTTTAAAGAATAAATTGTTAATAATCTATGCTTTATAAATTATGAGAAAGTGCTGCTTTGAAATTGGCTAAGGAAAAGGTAGAAAATTGACCCCAGAAAAAGGTTTTCCATTAAGTGTATGTCTTTCCTATTAAAATTTTATTATCTTGAATATTAGGAAATTGTACTAATAGAGTATATAAAGAAATATAAATATATGTCCCCTGAGTAGTGGGACTATGAATGATTTTTATTTTATTTGTTTCTATTAAGAATTTATTAAGTAATCAGAAAAGTCAGTAAATTTATATTAACTTTGGAAACGAAAATTCATTTATACTTTCATTTTCCTTAGCATCAAATAATAATTGAACCTAAAACCACTTATATATATTTTAATAAAACTATTCCATGTAACACAAAACCCTACATAGAATTATGAATATAAACTGGTTTTAATTTTTAATTCCTATTTTTCAGATATCAATGTGACAATGATGTGTCCTTCTATTGACCCACTACATCTTCACCATTTAACATACCTTCGTGTGGACCAAAATAAGCTGAAAGAACCCATAAATTCATATATCTTCTCCTGCTTCCCTCATATACATAGTATTTATTATGGTGAACAAAGAAGCACAAATGGTCAAACAATACAACTGAAGACCCAAGTTTTTGGGAGATTTCAAGATGATGACGAAGATGATGGGGATGATCATGATAACACTCCTGAAGGCCAAGAAACAGAAGGGACAGAAGAACACTTCAACCCTCACTACTATGAAACTCAAGAATGGCAAGAAATTATATAGGTATATGTTTATGACTTCATAAAATTTATAACTAACTGAACACAAAATTCTGCAAAATAATATATCTAGAATTATGTATTAGTATAAAACCAGAATTGCATTTAACAATCAACCGCATCATTGCATAGCATTAGAACTTACTCAAACGACATAGATCTTTAGAAATATCAACTAGAAATAGTGAGAATAAAAAACTAAACTTCAATGGCTTCTTATACTTTTTTCAAACTTTTAAACATCATCAAACTGGAAAAAAAGTGAACATGCCGATTCTCATAACAGCAATTTCCACAGAATGATTAAGAAAATAGCATTAGCCAGGAGACCAAAGCCAAGTCCATTCCATCACTCTGAGGACATCTGATAACAGTAGGGCACATCAGTGTAAAAAGCAAGCATTCATTTAAGTAATACACTGTCCTCTTCCACTCTGTCTTCAGACTTCAAGCTTGTTGTTGTTACTCATTCGTTATGGTACCCTAGGATTACTATTAGGAGCACAGAATATATTTTATTTTCAAGAGGCCATCTTACTAAGAATCCAAAGCACACAGATTTATGAAATCACATGTTCACACTTTTCTCTTAAAGCATCAAAGAGGTAACTAAAAACCACCAGATTATTTCAGAGCAATTTGTCTTTTAGGAAAACTTAGCAATAGTCCAAAATCTTTATTGTGTTCCATTTTCTCTCTCTCTCTCTCTCTCTCTCTCTCTCTCTCTCTCTCTCTTATAGTTATATAAAGATTTGCTGATAAATAACTGCTTTGTTCACAAAGTTAAATTAATGTTGCCAAAATAAGTCATTTTATATAATAAAAAGCCCTTACAGTTCATACTTACTTTGTGCTAAAGTGTTTACTGACATGGTGCTAAAGGTGAATATAGATCCTTTATAATACTAGAATAGACAAGTTTTAACATCTTCTCTAAAATCTTAAAAATCACTCATATTCTTTAATCTATCATTTTGAAGTATTTTAAGTGTACCTTATAACAAAGATTCTAACTGCTGTGATCAAGTCTCTTGATTTACCAGGCAAACATTTCATAGATTTCCTCAGGTAAGAAATGCAGCATTAAAAGAGAATAAAATTATGACATTTGCAGGTAAGTGGATGGTATTGGAGAATATCATGCTAAGCAGAGTAAGCCAATCCCCAAAAACCAAAGGCCGAATGTTCCTCTGATAAGTAGATGCTGATCCATAATGGGGGAAGAGGGAGATGCAAAAAATGGAGGTACTTTGATTGAGCAAAGAGGAGGGGGCAGGGGGGCAGGAAAGATGGTGGAGTGAGATGAACATCATTACCCTAGGTACATGTATGACTGCACATGTGGTTCGATGTTATATGGTGTACAACCAGAGAAATGAAAAGTTGTGTTGCTATTGTGTACAATGAGTCAAAATGCACTCTGCTGTCATATATATCTAATTAGAATAAATAAACTAAAAAATTAAAGAATCAAAAAAAGAGAAATGCACACTAATTCAAGGCTAACATATTATATGAGGAATTCCAAATACATAATAACAATTTGGACAATATGCAATAATCAGACAGGTAAAACTATATTTCAGAAGTATCCACGCTTGTGAGTCTTTTGTATTTCTGGAGATGTCAATACAAAATGAAGCCACTAAGTGTTCTTTATATATTCAAAAGGCTGCTAGCATTACCAGGAATTCTGTGAACACTTACCTGCTCACAGAAAATCCTTAACAATTCAGATTGAACATGAACAAAACTCCATTCATTTACTCATCAAGCCATTTGGTGTACAGTGCTTAGCAATGAGAGGTCAAGAAACAGTACAATGTGTAACTGTGGTGTAAGATGTAGGTATGAGTTAAGAGTAAAAGGCTAGTAATTTGGGGAATGTAAAAGTCCACCTCTCTCTCTCTCTCTTTTTTTTGTAGTTGTAGATGGACAGAATGCCTTTATTTTATTATTTATTTATTTTTTTAAAGAGAGAATGAGAGAGTAGAGAGAGAGAGAATTTTTAATATTTATATTTTTTAGTTCTCGGAGGACACAACATCTTTGTTGGTATGTGGTGCTGAGGATCGAACCCGGGCCGCATGCATGCCAGGCGAGCGCGCTACCGCTTGAGCCACATCCCCAGCCCCATAATGCCTTTATTTTATTTGTTTATGTGGTGCTGAGGATCAAATCCAGTGCCTCACCCATACTAGGTAAGCACCCTGCTGCCAAGCTACAGCTCCAGCCCCACCTCTCTTTCTTGAAAAATTTAAAAACAGTGTCATAAATTCAAACATTTATTATGAATTAATAGGTGGAAAATACCATGAGTATTTAATAGGGACAAAAAAAGGTAAGACTATTTCTAACCTAGAGCAATTTAAAATTAATAAGGATCCATCAGATAAATGCATTTCAAAATCACAGTGAGATACCACTTCATGCTCATTAGGATGGCTGGAATCAAAAAGCAAATAAGAGTTGTTAGAAAGGAGACAGAGAAATTGGTGCCCTTGCACACTTCTGAGAAGAGCGTCAAATGGTGCAGCTGCTTCAGAAAGCAATTTGGCAGTTGTTCAAAAGCTAATGTTATGCATAAGTCAGTAATTCCACTTCCATTTATGAATCCAAGAAAATTGAACACAATGTTCATGCAAAAATGTGTACATGAATGTCCATAGCAGCATTGTCCATAAGAGTCAAAAAGGAAACCACCCAAGTGCTTATGAACAGATAAGCAAAATATGGTTTATCTATATAGTGGAATGTTATTCAGTCATAAGAAGGAATGAAGCACTAACACATGCTACAACTTGAATAAACCTTTATAAACATTATGCATGGTAAAAGTCAGCTATAGAACACATACTGAATGATTTCATTTGTAAATAATGTGCAGAACATGGAAATTTATAGAGACAAAATTTATTGGCTATCTAAGGCAGCAGGGTAGAGAAATAGGGAAAAAATGGGGAGTGACTCCTAATGGGTTGCAGGGTTTCTTTTAGGGGTGATGAAAAAAAACCTAAAAATGATTATGCTGATGGCTATATAAAAGCCTGAAAATACTAAGCTCTACTAAATCATATACTTTTAAAGGGTGAATTGTATTGAATGTGAATTAGCTCAGGAAAGCAGATATTTTGGCCGAGCACACTGGTACATGTCTGTAATCCCATTAGCTCAGGAGGCTGAGGCAGGAGGATTGCAAGTTCAAAGCCAGCCTCAGCAACTTATTGAGGCCCTAAGCACCTCAGTGAAACCCTATTAAAAGGGTTTGGGATGTGGCTCAGTAATTAAGTACCCCTGGATTCAGCCCCTGGTACCAAAAAATAAAGAAAATAAGACCAAACAGCTCCTCCTAACACAAAGAAGAAACAAAGAAAATGCTGAAAAGGCAGCAACTATGAAAAATTGTATGAGCACAGATACCACCACCATTACCCCTTGTGAGGACCTGCTGAAGTTGCTGAAGGCTACAGAAAGAAGTGGTATCTTGATGTGTGACAGGAACTGACCAACAGAGGGGAGAAAACAAGCTCTTGGCTGAGATTAACATAAAGAAGTAGTAATTACTTTTTTTGAACTCTTACAAAATTTAAAAAGTAAAAAATCTTCCAATTTTCAGAATTCTGGAGCTTCTATTTTTATCTTTCTGAACTTATAAAAAATAATTTAAATTCTTAAAGAACAACCTTATCAAAAATAAAACTACACAATTTAGCAATTCAAAACAAGGACTTTGATATCACATATCTGGGTATGAAGCCTGATTTAACACTTTTAAGCCAGGTAACTTTGAGTAGGTTATTTGGTTTTCCTAAGCCTCCCCTTTCTAGTTTTTCTTTTGTTTTGTTTTTTTGTGCTGTTGGGGATTGAACCCAGAGCCTCACACATGCCAGACAAGCACCCTAGCACTGAGTCACATCCCCAGTCCTCTTTCCTAGTGATTAAAGGAAGATGGCTCTTATATAGTTGATACAAAGATAGAAAGTGCATGCCAGCTGCAGGTATCCAATAAACACCTCTTGCTCAGGAGGTCTGGCCTGCAGCCCGTGGGTCTCGGTGCTATACACTCTGGAGTGCTCGTGTTGGCTTTCTTGTACTGGAGTGTGCACAGAAAGGAGTCAGCACCTATTTTTCAGGTTCTTCCAACATTCTACTCATACACAAGATTGATGGACAAGAGAGACGTTAGTAATGATTTTACCAGGGTATGTACTCCACAAAAAACCAAATGCATAGTCACTGTGGATAGTTTAGCTTTCCAAAGCAACTAACTTGTGAAAGATAGTTCACATCTTTCAAAAAATGGCTCAACAGGATGAGGATGGCAGTATTCTCTCCATCACACTCACAAGTTTGCTCTTCCACCCAAATTCTTCCTATCAGGCAGAACAACTCATCTCCAATCTGCTCTGGTTCCTCTCTACAAATATGTATAAACAAGTGCATCAACAAACATCCTCCAGCTAAAAGCCCAATGAGGAGGTAGAGTAACCACCATTTATTCATTGGTAACTCAAACCTATCCCAAGTATTTCTCATTAAACGTAAAACAAACAAAACAGCATAATCATTTTTAGGTTCCCCAGGAGAAACTGAAGAATAAAGTATTTTATTTAACTAGGCCATAAAGATTGCAGAGTCCCTGTACTGCAGCAGTAAACCATACTAGTTGATTTGATATTTATAATAAGAAAGAAAAACATGAAAATACACCTATAATTTTTCTCATTATTTCCATTATATAACAAAGTAGTTGTATTAGCTAATAGACTAAACCATTTAAAACTATTAACAAAAAATCCAAATCATAACATAAATCCAAATTTAATCAAGAAACACACAGTGAACATACATTTAAAGGCTTGGGGATGTAGCTCAGTGGTAGAGTGCTTGCCTAGCTTGTGTGAGGCCCTGGGTTCAATCCCTAGCAAAACACACACACACACACACACACACACACACACACACACACACACACAGAGTAAAACTGAACATATACTTAGCTTTTAGAAAGAAAATAAAAATTTCAAGATGCTTCATAAATTAGTTCAAAATAATACTGGCTGAAAATGCTTAGCTTGTATTTAAATATTATCTGAAACACTACACATATGTTTTCACTTTATTCTTCAACATTGGGGCTACTAAACTAAAATACAGATGTATGCATATCACATAACATACTTAACCAGCTCCCTGTGGAAAAAAGAAAATAGAAGAAATAAACCTTGTCTCTTCTATATACTCTTTCTGTTATGAAGCATTCATATGATTCCAAGGACATCTGGAACTTAAACCTTGGTTTCCTGATTCCAAATTAATTTTTTGTAAATCTTGGAAATAAAGTATAAGAGCAGCTGGAAACAAGATTAAATCCTAAGATCTAAAAATCTGAAATTCCTTTTATGCTCCAATTTCCTTAATATATACAACTATGCCTAGTTATAAGCTAAATATGCTTAGTTATAAGTATCATATTGTGGACATCTTTTATCAATTTACCTGTTTAGGTTGTGAATTCATCATAGAGATTTATGCACTACTAAGAAAAATATAAATTCACAAATAAAGACAAATTTTTACCATAAACTCTTCCTTATGTTGAGTCATAATTCCCCTTCTTTTAAATACTTAGGAAAATACTCATTGTACTCCTGTGAACAAACAACCAGTGTTCAGGCATGAGCAGGAGATTTAAACCATAGGCTTGCCATAATACCTTCAAATGTTGGCTTTAAAAGGTATAAATATGTAAACTCAGTAGTTCTCAACAGGGTCAATTCCTCCACCCCTGACATTTCCACAACTGGAGGTAGTACTGGTAAACAACCTGCAGTGCATACAAAGGC